ATACAAGTCCCAGGAAAGGAAACCTCAGCAGGACCTTCCTCTCTTCCAGTCATAAATAGGAGGGATCACTTGGAAGTAGGCTACTCAGCACTTGACATCTGTCCATCATGTCCACTGAAGCAGCCCCAGAACTAGCAAGTAGAATCCATGGCTGGGTCATTGTTCAGACTTCAATGGTAGAGTATGGTTGAAAGGAGAGACAGCAGGATCACCTCTCTGAAAGGGGAGAGAGCTTGTACAAATTGAAGGGTCAGACCAGGAGCTGAGGCTTAGCAGAACCAGTTCATGCTGATGCAGGATATGACCAGCTCAGTTTATTGCCCTCAAAGCTTCCTATTCCAGAAGCACACAAAATGTGCAACAAGAAATCATATCTAAACAAAAGTTCAATTTTCTGTGACAATTGCTACTTATTTTCCAAGTAGCTTTTTTTTAAAAAAATATGTTATTGATTTTGTAATATAATTACCTTAATATTTGGTAAACAGCATGTTATCTGGTTTTACATTTAAAAAACAATCAATAACAATTAGTCCATATAGTAGGTTTGCTTGATTTTCTTCCAATAATATTCTCTTTTGCCAACCCTGAATTAATACAATTCTTATTATTTTGATAAATAACAATTAAATATAGATATTTTTCTAATATTTCTGCAAATAATAACATCAATATAAAGTTTCTTTTCTAACTGATCATCTTGTCTTGTCATAGATCCTGTTTACAAAATTCTTATTTAAATATGTTTCCCCCGCAATGTTCAAAACATTCTTACCAGTTGAGATTTTCTCAAAGTTAATTACATTTAAGTATTTAAGTGTTTTTCCTCATACAAGCCATCCCAATACTTTTACATTTCACATGTCTTAAAAAAAGAGAGAGAGCGAGAGAGAGAAGAAAAAGAAATAAGAAGATAGTATACTACTTAAAATATATGTCCCTCTTAGGCTAATGTATATTTATATCCAGAATTTTTCTCTTCTTTTTGACCATATTCAAACAAGTTTAGTCTTTAAATGTTTCATTCAATAAATCCAATTATCTAATCTTTTAGATCTGTTCAAAACATTTTTATCCATTGAAGTTTTATTGAGGTCAATTACACTTAAGTATCTAAAATATTTCCTTTATAGAAACCATTCCAACATTTTTATATTTCTCATGTCAAAAAACAAAAGAAAAAAGAAAAAAAAAATACTGTTACTTGAGGGGCTCATCCCTCTTAAACTAAAATTCATTTATATCCAAATCTTTCTATTTCTTTAACCATATTCAAACAAAAGTTTAATTTTTAAATATTCCCTCTGATAAATCCCATCATCTAATTTCTTAATAATCACTTTAGGCTTTTTTTTTTTTTGCCAAACATCTTTCCTGATCAATATGCTCCGCTGAATCAAAGAATCTTCCCATAGTCTTGTAGATGTTGTTATAGGTACAAAAAGCAAATCAAGTAAGATGTTTTATGGGAAGGTTTTGCCCCTTCGTATTCATTGAAAATCTTTTCCTTTCTTTCTCTTTTCTCTTATCATTTTTTGTCTCTCAAGTTCTCATTCTCCTGACAGCTTTTTGTTGAAATTTGTCAAAACTCCATTTTGTTGAAACTTTTGTGAGCTTAGAGCACGGGTTGGCAACCCGCGGCTCTGGAGCCGCATGTGGCTCTTTCAGCCGTCTCCTGCAGCTCCCTATCCACAGCCACCATGTTCAGTCTGAAAAAAAAGTGGGACTAAAAAAGTTCAACCAATCAATTCAAACTTCTCATGAAGTTTGAATTGATTGGTTGAACTTCTTTGGTTTGTGGGACTGCCCACAAACCTCTTTCCTTCTTCGGACTGCACATGGTGGCCGGGAGGACTGCTGGAAAGGTGTCCCTGGTAAGTAGCCATGGGTGGCCGGTCTTGGGGTGCCTCTTCCCTGCCCGACGGGTCTCCCCTCACCCTGCTTCGCCGCCGCCTGTTAGTTGGGGGGGTCGCCGGGGGTCTCTGTAGCTTCCCCTCTCCGCCTGCACCTTTCGGCCATCTCACGGGCAGCGGATTCCCCCGTGGCACTTGCCCAGCCCTTTCCCCACCTGCTGCATGGTCGTCTTGGCCGTCCTCCCGCTGCCGCTGCTGCCGGTCGCGCTGAGCGAGGCCGAAGAGGTGGCGGCGAGAAGGCAGCCACGCCACTTCGCCATCCTTCCGCTGGTGCCGCTGCCGCAACCCTCAGTGCTGCAGGAGACCTTGGGCTGCGAGGGTAGCGGGGCCGGCGGCGGGTCAGGACCCCCCCTCGTCTCTACGGTGGCATTCCCCATTGCCGGCACGGCCGCCCATGGTGCACCCGGCCTTGACGCCCTCCTCTTGCGATGCCGAAGTGGCTGAGGACACGACGGGGGCAGCGGATGGGCGCCGTCGCTGGAGCTGCTGCCTCCCGTCCTGCAGTGCGGAGTCCCAGCTCGGGCAGCTTCCTCACCCTTCTCCTCCCCTTCCTCCTTCTGCCCCCCCGGGTGGCTCACGTGGGCGCTGGGGCAAGAGGGGTGCCTGGGAAGAGCAGCTGGGCCGGCAGAGGGGCTGGCAGCGGCTACATTGGATGGGTGGAGGGTGAGCCCAGGCAGCGCGGAGTCCAGGCTGGGGCGGCGGCTTCCTTGCCCTCCTCCTCCCCTCCTTCCTCCTGATGCCCCCTGGGTGGCAGTCCCGGCTGGGGCGGTGGCCGGTGCCAGCATCGCTCCCTGGGCAGCCAAGCTGGCCACGCGTCACCCTGAGCTGGTCTGGTGGGGGTGGCGGCCGGCAGGGGCATTGATCCCTGGGCCGTCCCTGGGCAGCCGAGCCGGCCACGCGTCTCCCCGAGCCTACTCATCTCCGGTGGTGGCGCCATCTGGTGCTGTTTACACGGCCGTTAGTCTGAGTGAGTGAGATAGGAAGCGCCGCCCTGCTCCGCTCGTTTCCCCAGACCAGAGTTGGGGCCGCTGCCTATCTGTCATGCAGACGAACGGTCGTGTAAACAGCACCAGATGGCGGCGGCGCTGGAGATGAGCTTGAAGGAGAGGATGCTTGCTCCCACCTCCTGCAGAGCAGAACTGCTGCTTCCTCGCCCTCCCAGTGAAAGAACCCCAGAGAGGTGGAAGACGTCCTTTCTCCCACTTTCTGCTTCTCATCCTCTCTTTTCCGAGCACCCCTCCCAGAGCGAGCCAGAAACCTCAACTCCAGCCTCCCACAGCAGGCTGAGATAGGCGAGCCCGCAGCTCCTTCTCCCCATCGGCCTCCTCCTCCGCTCCCTGGGAACCTTCGCGGCAAAAGGCGGAAAGAAGAAAGTCCTAGATAGGGAAAGCGTGGGGTAGGGGGAGAGCAGTCTTTTCTGAGGGGAGGAGAAACCAGTACGGAGCTGGATGGGGGGGGCAGAGCCAGTACAAGTCTCGCCTTAGGCTCCACTCTTTAAATCAAGCCTCCTGTTCTGTGTGCATGCGTGTGCGCATTATGTGGCTCCGTTTTTTCTTTTGTGAGGAAAACGGGTCCAAGTGGCTCTTTCAGTGTTTCAGCTTGCCGACCCGTCTTAGAGTATAAGTTATCTTTTCCATGTCCAATATTTCCTGCAAGATTTTTTCCACCTGGGTTAAGTCATACTTCTTTCTATTGTGAGGTTCCATCTTTAAATCTCCTTCCTCTGGTTTATGTTCAGTTGTCTGTTTTATCTGCTCGCTCTGTATTTTTATTTTCTGAAGTTTTTTTGTTGTAAAGTTATTGCAGCAAGTATTACTGTATATTTTCATCCACCACTAGATGTCAGTACCAGTTCATTTTTCAATTTTCAAAATAAACAATTGTTTTCTTCTGTTTTCATGATTTAAAAAGAAAATCTTAGCAAATTCCACGAATTTCAAACTTATCCAGATTTAGGTCTTATATTCATTTCATTTCAATAAATTTCTGTCCCCCATAAGAAGTTTTTAATTCGCCGCTTCCATCTGTAGGAGGGTAGGGCAAAATTCCCCTCCTTCTCACTTTTGGAGGCTTTTTGCTTCTTAGGCTTTTTTCCCCAGGAAATCAATTATCAAGTAGAAGAGAGAAAATCAAAGTTCTTACCCAGTTCCAAGCACATTGTTTATAGATAGCTTAAAATAGTCCTTTTTGGCTTTGGCTGCTTGTAGCTTGGGCTAGACCAGGGGTCGGAAACCTTAAACACTTAAAGAGCCACTTGGACCCGTTTCCCACAGAAAACACTGGGAGCCGCAAAACGCGCTCGCATGCGCGCATGCCAGAGGGGGGGCTTTATGAAGAGTTTAATTAAAAAGAAATAGAGGCTGCTGTGCATGAGTTCTCTCTCTCTCTCCCTCTTCCTCCCCCCTCTCTCCGATCTTCTGCTCACATGGCCAGCTGGCCTGACGCTGTTCTCCAACAAGCTGACACACATTCTTATTGGGCTAGCTCTCTCCTGCCCTTGGTCTAACAGTCTTCTTCCCCCACTCNGAGCCATGGGTTGCCGACCTGTGGGCTAGACTCTTGAGTGACTAGACTCTTTCTCCTGTTGGTTTCTGGAGAGCTTTCCCCAAATGACCGGATCGAACGCCATCTCTCCATGATCAGCAGGGCTTCCCTCCTTCTTTGTTGCTTCTCCGGGGTGACTTTAGGACCATTTAGAGTCCCCAAACAGAAAAGAATTGGCCATAGGGTACAGAGCCCCGCGATCCCTCGGCTACTTACGCTACTGCACGAAACCAGAAGCCTTTCCAAGTAGTTTTTAATATAAACAAATATACTGTGCCACTCCTGAATTGTCCAAAAATACTAAAAGGTTCCAAAATTTCTTAGTTCCTCAGTGAAACTGAGTTCTGATTTCAAGGCACTCTTAAATAAATACTCTATTTTGCTGTAAGTAATTGCAATATTATTTGCTGTTCACTTTTAAACATTTCTTTATATAAAAAATCTTTTTAAAACATATACACCATCTTCCAAACCTAGGTTATCCCAGAATAAATTACAACATAATGAAAACAAAAAAGTATCTTAGAGGAGACAAAACTTTTTTAACATGTTGCCTGTTTATTGGATATTTTTAGGATCAGAAAAAGAACACAAATGGACTACAGAGACCAGTTACATTTGGAAGCATATACATGCATGCACACATACATAAACACACACATAAGTCTATATGGTTGTGACAAGAATATTGCTGAAAAAAACTACTTTGGAGGTACCCTGTTCATCAGTATTTTGAATCCATTCCTAATTAGCTGATGCAGGTATGTCACAAGTGGGATACTGTAAGCCAGCAGTCCCTAACCTTTCTGGCTCAGCAGACTGGTGGCGGAAGTGGGGGAGGGGAAGGTTTCACGCGCACACATGCGCCACTTTCACAACTGCAGGTTTGCAAACGCATGCCTACCACTTCCACGGCCCAGTTCCCAATGGGCTGCAGCCCAACACTGGGCTGGGGAACTGGGGTTTGGGGACCCCTGCTACAAGCAAACCTTATTTTGTGATTTACCTCTGAATCTATAATTTGGAAATGTATACTATTTTGGCTGAATAGGAATCTGTTCTGATTGCTACTGGAAGACTTCCAGGGAATATCAGGTTATATTCCCTGTAGAAAAGGAATTGAAGAAGAGAACTGTGGCAAACCATTTTTGTAGAGTTGTCTACAAAATGATATTGGAGTCACCAAGAATACTTGTGATTGACTCAAAAGAGAATTTTAAATTAAATATCAGGTATATCTGCCCTACCCCCACATACAAATAGCATACTGTATTGCTTGCATCTTATTTTCAAAGATAGTATTTGAAAAATAACTTACAAATAGGAAGATGAAAACTGAAAGAAACAAATAAGACAAAGATCATGAAACATATTAACATGCAATAATGAATATTTAAAAATATATTACAACTATGTTGTCACAAAATCTTTGTGAAGACCAACTTAAAATACATATAATTTTCATTTGTTATGCAGATTACTCTTACAATAGGAAATTGAGTGAATATCTAATATTAAAACTACAGTTTTTATACTCTCACAATCTTGTTCAAATCCATGGTTAAATATATTTATCTTCCAGTGCAACTGCAAAATATGTTTTTTTAAAAATATATACTGTAAAATGCATATTGTGTAGACAAGATTCAGTAACTAGGGAAGGAGTAATCTGTTTCCCCAGCAATGTCTTTTGCAACGCAATGATCATTTAGCATTTTGCTCCAAAGCAGAGTACTCCATTTCTGAAACCTTGGAAGTATCAATCAGCTTTGTAAGGCCAGTTTTAGCTGAGTATTTAAAGATAAATGCCTTCATGAGTTCATACTTGTAGTTTCGATTGATGAAACTATAAAGGATGGGATTGATGCAACAATGAACCAGAGAGAAGCACTGAGTAATGTGAAGGGCTGCATAAAGGACATTCTCCATTTGGCAACTGAAGGGTATAAAATGGAAGGCCAAGAAGAAATCAAGCAAGACAACTATGTGATATGGCAGCCAGCAGACAAGAAACACGAGAACATAGGAAAAAATAATTTTCACATTACTCCTCCTCTCTTGATCATTAGAGGCTGATACAGCTGCGGTTAAAAGACAATAGAAAATAGCAATGACAGGAAAAGGAATGACAAAACCTAAAATAACAGAGGTTAGCTCTGTGCCAGCTAGCCACTCCTTTGCGGTTTCCTCTGGATAGACAGGACGACAATAGGTTTCATTGTTGGAGGAAACTGTCTTAAGGTAATAGGTATCAGGAAGGGCTGCAAAGAAGGCAAAGAGCCATACCAAGATGCAAATGCAACAACGGAGTCTTTTCTTTTTAACACTGCTGGCAGGTTTGAAGAAAGAAACTGAGAGGTACCGATCCACACTCATACATGTCAGGAAGAAGATGCTGCCATATAGATTGATGGAGAACACAAGGTGAGCTATCTTGCATGAGATTTCCCCCATGTTCCACTGGCTGTGTTGAACAAAGGAGACTACCCAGATGGGAAGAGTGATGATCACACAGAGGTCAGCAACAGCAAGGTTGAAGATGTATAAGTGAGTTTCATAACCAGTAATTTTTGCTTGAAAATTCATCCAGACAACCACAAAATTGGCCACTAAGCCAATCATAAAAATAAAGATATACAAAAAGGAGAGGGTATAGAGCAGAGCACTTTTGTTAAGCACATTTGGGCACGACAAGGAGTCCACAGTGATACATTCTCCATTGTTGCAGATTACATTGGTTTCATTGAGATTCTCCACTTCCACAAGATCGAATATTGGAGGCACGTCAATAGTATTCATTGCAGATGATTTTTGATGAAATGAGTCTGAAAAAAGAAAGAGCAAAAAAGACAGCATGAGCAATTTTAGTTGAAGAGTAGACATTATTTGCAATTGCTTTTATATTGTGGGGAGTCCCCCCACCCACCCAGAGAAGGAAATATTAAGGGCAGAAAAAATATATTTCCTTAGGATCTTGAAGAGGCAGGAAAGCATGCTCAGTTTTCTTAATAGCCCCAAATCTGCCTCCCCCAAGCAGAAACCAGCTCTATAGAAATGCAGATCCAGACCATTCAGGAAAGCTGGAGCTAGAAGATTAAGAAGACAAAGATCTAAAATCTGCATATCTCACCCAAACTCTTAAGAGTCATTAGCCCAGCCCCAGGGAAACATAATAGGATTAAACCACAGATACCAAGGCCCAGAAAAGCACACACAAGACTCAGTTCAACGTTCATGCCACAGGAACAGGAAACAACTCAAAACAAAAGACTTCAGAGGGTATAAAAAACCCACTCCCTACATGTGTTCCCTCTCTTTTCTGCCAGAGCCATCTTCCTATCTGGTTCTCCTCTCCAATAAACTACAACCTTCTTCCCAAAGCAGTTGCCATGTTTATTCCCAGCTTGGATGAACCAGGATGAAGACTTTTCTTCCAACAATTTGGCACCCCAGATGGGACTCCAAGCTAACCTTTCCAATGGACTGAGACTGGTAAGCCCCATCTTGCCGGCAGCAGACCCCCTTGTGTTTGTGGATGGGTTTCCCAGGCACTGCCCATGTAGAGCCAGGGTAGTAAAGGGGTTTTGGGGATTGAGCTCAAGGGCTGCTTTGGAAAGAAGGTGAAGCTGAGTACCTCTAAATTTTAACTTTACAGCCCAGGGGAACAAAGGAAATGTGTGTATGTCTCTGTGTGTGAGTGAGAAGACCCTTTTTCCCCAATCACAGTTGGATTTTGCTCCCTCTGGTCTTTCCTAGCCGCAGAAAGGATCTGTTCAAGTGGCAGACCCTGGAAAGCATGGGGGTTTGGCCAGAGCGCAGAACCTTTTGTTAGGGAAAAGGGAGAGGCTGTGTGAAAATGGAATGGAATGAGTGAATGAGAATTGGATTTGGGCAACCAGCTGGTAAGGCCCTGGAAGCAAAGCCTAGTTCAGAAGGTGCCAGTACTCACTGCGTAGGGGGCAGCAGGTCCTTCCAGATCCGCAAGGGGTCTGAAAACCGGTGGCAGAAAGGAGGTGTCAGTACTCACTGCTTTTCAAAAAGGCAGCAGGTCCTCCCAGACCCGCGAGGAGTCTGAAAACCGTGACAGATACTTCCCAGGGAAGGAGGTAAGGGTACTTCATCAGGGAAACGAAGTTCTCCCCGGACGCTTTTTTGTCCGAAAAATCGCTGTTTTTTTCCTTTTGTACCTGACTGAGCCAAAGTGAGCCCCACATCTGAGAGGGAACATGGGAAGCGGCAGTTCAAAGGTGACATAATCCCCTGTGATTATTTGCTCAAAACGAAGAGCAAGAGAAATATGTAAAAAAAATGGGCTTTTGCTCAGGGCTTTGCTGGGAAACCAGACTTTTCTTCCAACAATATCAAATAACTTATGAATTCCACAAAAGTACTCCAGGCTTTGGCTAGGCAGAATTTTATACATACCATTGTGTAAATAATTTTAATTTCAACAAACTGCAGATACAGTATGGAATAAGGAAGAACCAAAACTGTAAGCTGTATGCAAAAGGAAACACAACACTAATAGTCCTATTCTTATCAGGAAAGGTAAGGTAAGGTTATGAGGCATTCTCATTCCTTGGCAAGAAGCACTCTTTTAAATTGGACAGGGCAATCACCATTGACTTATAGTGCTAGCAGGTTTTTCTATTTTACTGGGGCAAAAATGGAGATTGTGAAGGGAGGGTGTCAACGCTGCAAATACTGTATATTCTTGCTTTGACAATGTGCAGAACTGTCTGGTATATATATAGTTAAACCAGCAACTAGGAGAGAGGGAGGAGCATAGGGATAGCCCGGGAGAAAGAAACCGGAAGTAAATCACATCTTTCAAGTTGATTGGAAGATGTGAACCATGACCCTACAATAAGGGAGTGGACA